AAAAAGGGGGGGGGGTACGACGCGCAATTGCGCGTTTTCCTATTTTATGAGAAAGGACGACTGTACAGTTTTTTTCTCCCAGCTCCCGGTGTGAAACGTAAGTGCTAGCTCTACATAGGTATATACACATTTACACGCACGTACACAGACCTAGCTCTGTAAAACTACTTAGCAATTCAAAAATCAACTGCAGTATGTCTTACTGTCCACTCCCCGCCCCCTACCCCTCCCCCACCTACCACTACTTAGAAAAGACTCAGAAGTAAAGAGGTCGGGAAGTTTTTAAGTGGCGTTCGCAGGGCTGGAGACTCACCAGACCACCAAAGCCACCTCTTGTACAGGAGGAACCAAAAACCAGGGGAATACAATCCAATTGTGTGGAAAAACCCAAGTTTCAACAGGGCTCACTGAGGCACTTGGCTGACTGACTCCCCACCCTTCCCCCAAAGTTTCCACTCCCATTACAGGAGACTTTCCCAAGCCACAAAGACCCCCACCCCCCAATGGCTAGTTTCCAGCTGAGAGAAGCCACAGCTTCTCAGACCAGCTGTCACTTCCAACCCCTCCCTCCCCTAGGACAATAGGGAGGCCACAGGGACAGAGGAACAGGAGTGAGAAGGAAACTGGATTTGGACCCCCCACTGCTCACCACTGGGAGGTGGAAGGCAGCCCAGGGAGGGTTTATCCCACCTCCCTAACTTGGTGTCCAGCTACTGCCACCCCTCTCCTCCCCAACAAGGTTCTGAAACTCACCAGGCTGCTCAACTTAAAGACTCACTTGTCTTAAAGATACTCCTGCAAACCTTACAATTCCTGGGCCCCTCTCAACTAGCCAAAACAAGCTGCCTTCCCGATTCTCCCACCCCCACCCCCCACTTTTACCTTCATAGCGAACAAACCAACTAAACAAAACACACAAACCCACCCCAAACCCTAAGTAGATTAATAACAAATTAACAGAACAAAACATAAGTACATTCTCATCATTACAGGGATGAGATTGTGTTTGCTGTCCTTGCACGACTGGTTAAGGAAAAATGAACTATTCCCTAATGTCTGAGGAATCCAAATTCTGTCTCTCAAAGTCAGAATAGAGAGAGGGGCAAGGGGCTGCAGATGAGGAGTAAGAGAGAAGAAAGGAGAAAAGTATTTACAGAAAATAGGAGACAGGCAGGAGTGTCCACAAGAAAAGCTTCACTGTCACTTCTTCTTGCTGGCCCTCTTGGCACTGGACTTGGCTTTGGGCTTCACTGGTTTGGCCTTCTTAGGCTTGGATGCCTTGACTGGCTTGGCTTTGACAGTCTTGGGTTTTTTGGCTTTCTTGGGCGTGGCAGCCGCCTTCTTCTTGGCCTTCTTGACAGGGGTGGCTTTGGGCTTCTTGCTGGGGGCTTTGGCGGCTGCCTTCTTGGGCTTGGCTGCCTTCTTTGGCGTGGCCACCTTCTTGACTTCTTTCTTGGTCTTCTTGAAGGCCACTGACCTCTTAGGCTCGTCGCTCTTGGCCAGCCGAAAGGACCCTGAGGCACCCACTCCTTTGGTCTGCTTGAGGACCCCGGTGGTAACCAGGCGCTTGATGGACAACTTGATCTGCGAGTCGGCGTTCTCGCCCACCTTGTAGTGGCTCTTGATGTACTTCTGGATGGACTGGCGCGAGGAACCAGCGCGGTTCTTCTCCGCCTGGATGGCAGCCACAATCATGTCTGAGTACTTGGGGTGGTCTGTGGACTTCTTGGAAGCCTTGGCCCGCTTGGGCTTGGCCGCGGGGGTAGACGTGGAGTTTTCGGTCATGGTGGCCTGCCTGGTCCTGCTGTTGAAGAATGCGCCTTCAAAAGGGCCAGCCCCCGGCGGAGGCCGAGGAAAGCCTGACTCGGGATCGGCTTTCGCACCCCGGACTCTCTGGGACCTGGCTCGGGTCGCGGGAGAGGTCGCTGCGCCGGTTCTGCGTGGCCCGGCCCA